CTGTTATAGGAAGTCAAATAAATTTAACTTCGTAGCACAAGAATATGGTTTCTATAACTGAAAAAAATGTAGAATAAAAAGATCCACTTAAGATCGTCTCATATAAATACCTATTATATATAGGCATCATTATAATAAACTAATTAAAATATTTACTTATTGACAATATAAACAATAATTAAAAGACTCATGAAACTATGGATTGTTAATACCATTTTTCTAAGATTATTATTCAGGGCTATCAAAATTTAACAATCACTCTTTAATCGCTGGCTTAATTCTTTAGACAACAATATTTCTCCCAGTGCCCAGCTAATCCAACTAAAAACTGCGAGGGATTTTCACCGCAATTCGGTAGCCGGCAAGTAGCTGGCTGAAGTACGTAGGTTGCGGCAGGTCAGTGCTCCCTGGGCCATGTGATTAAAACGCTAAAACGCAGACAATCATAAATATCAAATGCGCCATATTTTAGGGTCTCGGCGGTCCCAGTGGGTTTTTGTTTGTTGTTGTTGTTGTTATTATTGTTGTCCCCAACCGATAAAGAGGGGGACACTGGCGACCAGAATGGTTTCACTTTTGTTTGAGCGACACCTGGCTGCGAGCGGAGCGGCCCATGACTCACGGAGTTATAGTTATCCACCAAGTGGAGAAGGAGAACGAGACGAAGACGGCGGTCCCAGAGTCTCAAAAAGTGCATCATAAATTATTTTGCCTTTGCAGCTCCGATCAGCCCAACTTTTATTTTTCTTCTAAGCATTTTCATTTGCCAAAGTAGTCACACGGTCAGCTTGATGGAGGGCAGGATGGTTAGAGAGGGGATTTGCGGATCTGGGGATCTGGGGAGCGAACCACATTTGTCGCCGGCCCAAGCGAAATCGAAATTGAAATTGAAATCCTGGTTCAGCCCCAGCCAAGCGATCCAATCCAAACGGATCGGCAGCCGCACTTTGGTCACGAATGTCGGTCAAACGTGTTTGGTTTGCTATTTTACAACTTTAAATATGCCAACAATGGCCAAAAGCCACTAAGCCACATAGTATTTGCAGCCACATCCTACCTGGGCCACATGCATGCCTAATTTGTGTGCATATTTCTCGGGGGATTATCACTGTCACACTCCCGCCCCCAGGTTTCGAATCAGCCACGATCTATGGGGGCTCCAATTGCGATCCGTTGCGGCTGTAGCTTAGGAATTCTAATTTTAGGGTTCAAACAGGCAACACAGAATTAAAGGATCTCTAAAGATATTCGAAAGAGAAACTGTTAGACACTGGTTTAAAGTATAGAATTTAATTCAATTTTAAGGAATATAAACACATTTACCATATTCGGAAAGTTCAATAATATTTATCAGTATATCTGCAATAAAGTCAACAAGATATATCTCTCTTTTCTGTTGCTTTTCCATATTAAATTACAAGAGGGACAGCCAAAACGTCGTTTGTCAGCAATTTCCCTTTCACCAATTTAAGCGCTTCCTCTCATTAATATTTTGCAATGTTTTGCAAAAAAATCGAGTCATATTTTTACAGTCTGTTGCATGTTACACTTGTAAGCAATTAGCCAAGATTTTCATGGGAAAAGACAAAATTACTTCGCTTTTGGGCAGGAAAATTGATAAGCAATTGGCTTATAGGTACCAGAAAAGAGAAATCCCTTGAGAACATCGAAAGTTGGGTAACTCCTTTAATGGGAGACACAATTTTTAATGGTATCCCCTATCGCGATTTCATCTGCGGCACTTCCTTGCCGTCCCATTACCCATTACCCATACGCCGTGTTGCGCCATCAGGGATGTGGGAGATCTGCGGGCGGCTGTGGCGGCGGAACAAATCAGTAAACTATTTAGCCTACAAACAAATTTCTCACATAATTCACAAAACGCCGTAATACGGAAGCCGTTTCTAGTTGCAAATTTCACCCGGCTGATAAGTCGCCAGGCAAATTTGCAGCACTCAAATTTGAATTTCATGTCCCTTTTATCGGTGCGACTATCTAACGCTTAGCGGTTCAGTTCAGTTCAGCCTGGGTTGGTTTTTCTGTTTCTTTTTCTTTTCTTTTCCATTTGGTTCCTATTTTTTTCGGGGATTTTTGGCTTTGCTTTTGGGCCCGTCTGTTTGCCCGGCTAGAAGTGGCCATTGTTGGTGTCGCTGGCAAATTTGCCTGGCCATAATAACGGTTCGTGCTGGGGGGTTTTTGCCTTATTGGGCGGTTGCGGTTCAACGGATTGATGTGCCTCTGTGTGAACAGCCGAGTTTTCCCACCTCCCCCTGGTATTTTTCCGCCACTTTGCCGATTTTTGGCCACCGCAAAGTTATAAAATATAGAAAATTATGCGCATCGGCTACTGTGGCCGCCATCAAAAGCGGCGCCGAAAGTCGGCTCGAGTCGGATCGGTTTGGGCTGTTGCCTGGCACTTAACACCTTTTTGACACACAGCCAGCGACGTCAAATGCAAATGAAGATAAATCGCTGCCTCTGATCTTTTTAGCACCTTTTTGCATACATTCCCCCAGTCCAAGCGAAACCCGAAAAGCCAAAGCCTCCCAGAGCTCCGGTGACAGCGCCACGAACATGCAACATTTTGTCGCCAGTTGTACAACTCTTGAATACCTCCGAATGCCGAATGCCGAATGCCAAATGCTGCCGATGTTGCAGTGGCGGCCAATGCCTACGACTTTCTGGCGATTATGATGGCAACCCAGCCCAGGCCGCGATTCAGCGGCTGTAATACCCTCTAAGGGGATTATGAGATTTTAACACCTACCTCGAAACCATCAATCTTCAAGGATGTCCTCTGGTGTCTCGAAAGAGTGAAGTGCATTTCTCAAAAACAAGGAGATTAAACGATTTGTTAATTGATTTCACTTTTTTTTTTAATGTATTAACTTAAAATGTATGCAACTTTAAAAATTATTCAGATTTTTATTTTAATTTTTAAAGAATCTATAAATATTATCAACAAAAGAAAAAATAAAAGTATTTTACAAAGGCAAAGTATGGATATTATTAGTTTACAACGTTTATTCATAAAAGTAATTCTTTAAAAACACAACCGCATTTTTTAAACAAAACTATTTGTTTAAAATTAAAATTTTTGAATCACTATTTAAAAAATGTGGGTATTTGATAACTCTTGGTCATGACATTTAAAATAATCAAGATTGAGTACTAAATACTTTAGTATATGCTTGATTGCTTAAGTATATTCAGCTTATCCAGCGTATCTAATCTTCGATTTGTCAGAATAACCTTATGTTTTCGGGGTTGCCAATAAGGTCAAGGGGGGAGCTGTGGGTGGAGGAGGTGTTGGTTGCAAAAAAAACTTAGTTTTCCACTGCAACACAGATACACACATGTGCACAATTGGCAATCAGAAAACTATCAGCCTGCCCCAGTGTTGTTTCTGTGTTTTTCTTTTGGTTGCCAGAGTGGGGCTGTTGTCATTGTTGTTTTGGTGGTGCTGCATTGCTGACTTCAGACTCCAGACGGATGAGGAAGTTTTTTGGTCTGGGCTGCATTTGTGGCATGCTACCAACTATCGGCTGGCGACTATCGGCAGCTTGTCGCGTTTTTCTCTTATTTAAATTACGAAATGCTTTGTCAACAATTTGTCCACTGATTTATTGGCTTTTGTGGCGCTGCAAGCTACTTGCAACATGGGAACCTGGCAACAGTGGCCACAATGGCCGCGACTAATCGGAATTGCCAGTTATCAGTTGGCTGAGTGACAGGTGCATAAATTGCATTTAAAATCGAAAGTTGGGCAGACGCCCAGAATGAAAGTGAACGACGTGGATCCATTAAATGTGTGCCACTCATGTGGCACCGCCACCACCACCAGCAAAATCGCGGTGGTGCATTGACTCGCTGCTCTGTACTGTGCACTCTGCACCACGGCAGTCGCATTCGCAGCTGTCCATCAGAGAACTTTCGATTTCGATTGCGTAGTGCGTCAACTCGAAGACTTTCCATTGTGGCGTTTGTTGAACCGATCTCGGGTACATTGAGAAAAAGTCTATATAAATTGTTCAGTTTTTGCGGTATTAACTAAAGCACTTTTGAAATATTTTAAGATACAACTTTTGGGGGTTCATTTATATAATAACATACTAATATTCATTGAATATCCTGTTCTTTTACGGTATTCAATTTTCTTTTTAATTTGGCAAGTTTAACTGTCGAAAAACTATTCATTATATTATATCCTTTCCTATTTTTCTCTCTGTAGTAACAAAGATCACAGACGTAAGGAGGGTCAGGAACTGGGACTGGGACTCGGACAACAACTGCCACAGATCGCACAAGAAACACATATTTCGTAGCTTTTTCGTTCGGGTTTGAAGTCTCTGTGAGTGACACACAATTGCGTTTTTTGCACATAGTTCCGTATTTGGTCAAAGATAATGATGTGAAATGCAGCAACAACAGCAGCATATCCCCGAAACAACGTCGACGAAGGCGAAACGACAGCGACAACGAGGCAATCACCCACTCAAAAATCGTTGAGGAAAAATTGCCAGGCCGACGCGAATCGTCCATGTAAATGAGTGAAAATGTTTCAACTTAATTCTGTTTATGTGCGTTCACGTGCGGCAGGGTTTTCATTTGCCAGGCCGAGAGAAACTCCACTCAGGCCTAAACTTTTCACTGGGAAATAAAACAAGATGTACGAAAAAATGTAGTTAAGACACTTGGCCAGCTAAATAATAAATCTTATTTTAGTATTGACCTTGAAGAAAGTGTAACTGAAATAAATTATAACACTCCTTAAACATTACAACTTAACATACAAAGTAATCCCGATTGATGAAGGCATATAAAAAATAATTAATTATAATAATTTAAATCCTTACCATTATTTAGTTTAATTTAAAACATTCTTAACGATTAGATTTGCAAGGTTATAATTAAATAGATAAATATTCCTGCGCATGCTCCCGGATTGCCATGACATAAATGGGGTTTCCAAGTTGTCAGTAGAGAGAACAAATAAACAAACTAGCCGGTCAGAACTTATCGAAGGGCATCGCATAGAAAAAGGCACTGACCATGTCGAACTCGGAAATCGAGCCCCCGGGCAAGTTGGACCTGGAGAGCGATCTCGAGGGTCTGCCCGGGGAGTTGGAGCTAACGGATCCCTTGGCCGCGGCGCCCTTATCGATGAGGCGCAGCAAGCCCTACTTCAAGAAGTTCAAGGAGCCGGATTCGGACGAGGAAGTGGGTGATCCGCGCAATCTGTTCAATGTCCAGGAGTCCTGGCGAACGCTAATGTCGCTGTCCAGTTGCCAAAAGGTCATGGTGTCGTAAGTTGTGAAAATATCAAAGTAAATTAGAGTCCCATTACGGTTTCTAAACAGAGAAAAAGTTCAGAAGGCCTTGAAGATCGAGGTGGGCATCAATGTGACTCAAGAGTTCCCTTGGAAGCAGGTGCAGTTCAAGGATCTTCGGGACGTGCTCTTCGACGAGCTGGAGAATTCGGCTGAGCTGATGAAGAAGTTCAAGAACTTCAATCCAGACCACTATGTTCTGATGGGGTTCTGTCCTCTACTCACCGAACAGGACGATGATCCGCCCGAGGGCGACCCCTTCATCTTTTACTCGAGCATCAAGGAGTCCAAAATGGCCCTTAGTATTATCCAGAACATGGAACACTTTGACCGCTGGCGAATGCAGCGCCGCCTGAGGAAGAAGCCCCGCCGTTGGGTGAGCCATGGAACCGACGAGGAGATGACCATCCTGGTGGAGCACTTCAAGGACGAGCCCATCGACGTGGAGATCCAGAGCGTCTATCCCATTCAGATGCCACGGCACGTGGCCTTCGACTATCGAATGACCCGGGACGTTAGGGATGGAGTGATCGAGCTGCTGCCCAACGAGAACATCAAGTGGGACAATGTGACCAAGAAGAGGATTAATGTGTCGGTCCAATCGGCTCCCCCGAAAATCGATAGGGAGCAGCAAACCAATCCGACTTTTCCGTCGAACGCCTGGTCGCAGTATCTCTATGAAATTGACGATGAAGGTGTGTTTCCGGATTATAAACTTCATTTATAATAACTTTTATTTCATCCTAAGACCTGGAGCTCGATGAAACGGATGTGGATGAGGAGGAGGAGAAGAAGAAGGCCCAAGCTAAACCCGGAACCTATGTGGAGCCCGAGAAGCCTCCACCCGAGATGTCCGCCCAGATAGAGATGCTGCTCAATACCCTGGACTTTAATCAGATCGACAGTTATCGGTGGGTTTTATTAGTTAATTAGTTATATCACATTATATATCATAACTATATACTCCCTTCAGCGACGACTACACTTTGATATCCTCGCGACAAGTGGTGCAGTATACGAATCCCTACCTGCAAGAGTTCCTTTGTTTTGCCAACATCTCGAAGAGCAACAAGCGCTTCGTGGCTGGATACGATTGGTATCCGAAATTATCTGGTCTTATTGCAGTATCCTATGCCTTCAGTACCCCGGCTACCATAAATGAGGCCGGCAACCGGGTGGACTACGTGCAGCGAGCTGTTCTGGAGCCCAATCCCGTACTCCTTTGGAGCTTCTCGGATAATCTCAACTATAAGCTGGAGTTCGAGGCTCCAATCGAGAATACCGCCCTGACCTTTTGCCCCTTCAACGGGGACATCTTGCTGGGAGGGTCGAAGAATGGTCAGGTGGTGTTGTGGGATCTGCAGGGGCGATGCGAGAGGCTGGATGAGGAGGAGTATTTGACGGCTGCCCAGGCCAAGTACCGGGTGATGATTGGCGAGTTCCTAAACTGGACCATTGACATCGAGGACAATGTCATCGCACCGGCCACCATTTCCGGGCTGGACTGCTCGCCAAAGGGTGCCATCACGGGCTTCTATTGGCTGGGTCGTTCGATATACCTAAGTCAATTTGGAAAGGTTTACAACGACACCGATCCGCGGAACAACCACAAGTTCTTTGTCACCTGCGCCTTCGATGGCACCATTAGCTTCTGGGACCTCGATGGCAAGGGGGCGAAGGGCGGCAAGGAGAAGATGCGGAACCGCATGCTGCCCAAGGCGCTGACCCAAAGCGAGTCCGCCTTCAAGTCGCTGGCCATCAAGCCCACCTACAACTTATCTTTTCCGGAACCCCTCACGGGAATCATTGCGGACACCTCGTGCTTCTCGTGTCTAACGCCAGTTGCCCGCTTGATTCACGCCAATCCCTCGAACTATCCCATCAAGACGATCGCCAAGGACCCGCCCACTGTTCGCCAGAGCATGATAGTGTCCACGTTCTATGGTCATGTCAGCCGGATCGATTGGCAGGGCACCTATACGGAGGGCGAGCCCACGGAGATGATCAACAGCTCGACTCCCTTCGCCATGGTCCACGACGGACCTGTGGTGATGGTGAAGAAGAATCCCTTCTATCCGCAGCTATTCGTCTCCATCGGGCGCACTATTATGGCCATCTGGAAGGAGGACTACAACTACTCGCCTATTTTTTGGAGGCGGAGGGCCTGTGACTTGACAGCCGTCGCCTGGAGCGAAACGCGTCCGGCTGTTTTGTATCTCACCAGGATCGATGGAATACTCGAGGCGTGGGATATATTGGGTATAATAACTTTAAGGTATAAAATATCTATGGGTTTTTAATATTTCCCCCCAAAGCTCGCGATGATGACGCCTGTCTAACAGAGATCCTCGGAGGCGGCATAATTACTGGGATCACTGAGCACCGCCCCTCGCTTCCCTATAAGATCCTGGGCATTGGTGACTATAATAGCAGCATTAGGATGGTGAAACTGCCACATTCCTTCGATGTGCCGCTGCCCAATGAACTGCAGCAGCTGATGAACTATGTCCTGAAGGAGGAGCGCCGCAAGATGGGCATCCAGGCGTGGGAGCAGAAGTACTACGAGCTCAACAAGGACATCATAGAGGCGAAGCGGGAGGCGGAGGCGGAGACGCGCAAGGAAATGGAGAGGCTGGAGAAGGAGGAGCAGCTGGCCACCAGGAAGAAGGGACACAAGTCCGCTGAGGAAGGAGGCGGAGGAGGCGAGGAGGAAAGGTAATTGGGTATATTATAACTAGGCTATCAATCAGTAATCATTTTTTGTCCAATAGGAAAAAACCCTACAGTGGCCTTAACTACAACGAGAAAATGGCCGTGATGTGGGACGAACTTAATCTAAACAGGATGATGACCATCCTGATGTCGCGCAAGCAGATGGATCCCGAGAAGTTGGCCAGGGAAACGGCGCTGGAGAAGGAGCGACATGCCTACGAGGCGGCCAAGAAGAAGTCCCATTCGGATGTCCTGGCCCGGGTGGAGAACGATATCGCCAACATCCGGGCGAGAATCCTGCCAGCGGAGATCGCGGACATGCAGCGCAGCGAGATGATCGCCGAGCGGGTGAAACGAGAGATAGAGAATGCCGACACCTATGAGCAGGTGTGCGAGGATTCCTTCGAGATTCTGAGCAAGTTCAACGAGTTCAAATCGATCGACTACATTGAGTTCCTGGAGCGGGGTCGCCAGAGACGGCGGCTATTGGATCAATCCTTGGGCGGAAACACTGATCGACTGCTGTGGTACGAGGAGAGGGTCCGGCTGGGGGAACTGGGCGAGTGCCAGTTCGGCTATGAATCCGTTGGCGGAACCCAGGCGGAGGAGTCCAGTCAACCCGAATTCGCAGCTACTCACTTTATGTTGCCCAAATCGAGCAGCAATACTGTTGTGGATACGGTGGCAGAGGAGTTCGAAGGCTAATTGGTTATTTCTTAAGATCGTAAATATCAGCGAATTAAATATTACTTAAGCATCAAATGATTTCACCTTGAAGTTTGACCTTTCAAGATGTGTTTTCTAAAAGAAAATTATTAAAGGTGTTTTTTTTCGTTTTAACTGGATTATCTGGATTTTTGCTAAAAATATGTTTTTTTTGTGTGCTTTTTTGCTGTTACTTGGGAAAAAAAGATCCGATATTAAAAAATTGCAGTGTTTTGTAAAGCTAATGATAAAATATATCGATTTATATCACTTTATGGGTGATGTTATAAAATTAAAATATTTTCTTTTTTTCACATTTTTTAAAAGGGGTTACATCATTATTTTTTGAAAAAAATGGAAAAATATAAAAATTTTCAGGTTTGAATGCCAATTTGTTAAGAATTTAATTACGAGCTTAACAAGGTATGACATTCCATATTTTGAATATTTTAAGCATTCTTTCAGTCAAAATACTGTTTTTTTTGCGCCAAATATAACGATCTGAATTTACGGTAAAAAAAGGGTTTTTTGCTGTAACTTGACCAATGAAATGAATTTGGCTTGGCATTCCAACCAGTTTTAATGATAGGAAAAGTATCTTATTTAATGAAAAGAAAGTTTAATCTCTTGAAACATAAAGCCAGTACAAGACGATAAAATACATTTTTAATGTGTTGATTTTGGATGCGCCTTGATGCCTTTTTTATGCTTTATTTATGTAAACAATAGTAAACTTTGGATGGTGTTTTCCCTTTATTTTTACTACACTATTGGCCGTTTAAAGTGACCCACCCACCGGGCTAAACGGTTGACTGCCTCTGGCCGTTTGCCAAATAAAATTCGGCTCTCAATTAGGGGCCCGTTGAACCTTGAAGGCCCGCTTCCGCTCGACGGCCAGCTGGCTGGCGGGTTCAAGTTTATGACATTTCTAGGCATTTGTGTGCACAAATGAAGTCATCCCGCGAACGAGGCGTGTCTCGAGTTTAATGAACCTGCCCCCATAATGGGTGAAAAGCCCGGCGATCTCCGAGTTGTCGTAAGTCGAGCTAGGGGGAATTCCCACGGCCATGCGATGGTCACTCCACTGCAAAGTACCTCCGCCAAGTAAACTCCAATCGGCCATTAAGCCGGGCTAAATGCAAACCGACAGCGGCAGTCCATCATTTTCGCAAGCAGATAATGATATACATTTTGGAAGCAAAGCATCTGAACTTTACCATAATTTCGAGTGCATTATTATTGGCCCGCTCTGGGCAGTTGAATGCAAAATCGGAGCTGCATTTCGTTGCATCATCATCATCATCACCATCGTCGTTGTCGACCACCTGTTGTCCTTAAAGCGATAAGTATTAAGTGATTTCTGGACAGCGGCTCTCGCGTTTTCTTCTTATTTATTAATACAAATTTCGTGCGCTTGCGTGCGTCTGCAACTGAGGCAAGTGCATTTACATAACAATTGGCCTTTGAATTGAAATTGGCAGCGGGCTTTGGTCCGTCCATCGATTCGGGCTATCCCGGCGAGACAGCATTAAAATCTCTTTACCGCCATTTAAAATAATTTACGATCTTATGCAAATCGCCGCTTTCGTTGCACTAGCCCCCAAAACTTGCCACCGTGACTCGACATAATGCTCGTTGGCCACAAATTAAACGCACACATCGATTATTCACGCCCATTGTGCGGCGGTGAACAATAACTCAAAAGTGCTGTCCCGTCACAGGTGTCGTACTCATAAGCCAAGCTCACACTTGGTATTCATATGGGTTATATGGGTTAAGTACTCGTTGGATCCTTGAAGGATTTGAAAAACTGTATTTTATCTTTGACATTTTAAGTAGAGTGTAAGCCTTGGCACAAATTATTGCATCATTTGCTGCATGGAAATGGAATCATTTTGGAGTCTAAGCATGACATTTTATAAACCCAACCCCATTATGTAGTTATTTTACATTTTTCATTAAAAGGATGTGATATTTTTAAGTACCCAGCCTCTGAAAAGTCACCAAATAAAGTGTAGTTGAGTAGTCTGAGTACATCATTAAATGATTTATAATTAAATGTTTTTTAGTACGCCTGATTTGCTCTTGACCCACTGAAGAAATGTGTGTGACAAATCCATTAATCCATTTCACTGCACTTGCAGAACCCCTCGAGTCTTTTGAGCAACTGTTTGCACGACTCCCGCTCGCCAGAGCCACTGGTCTTGGCCAATTCGCCTACCAACTCCAGGATGCCGCCCAGAAAGCTGTCGAATTCCTCCTCGTACTCGCCAACGACCTGTTCGAATTCCTGCCAAGTTCCGTCTGGCGGTGACTCCACAAACCTACAAAAGTTCAGGCACACATGGCCGAGAGTGAATAAAGCTTTCGTGTAGGTGTCGGCAGTGGGCAGTAGCCCAAATCGCAGGCACTCATCCACGGTGATCTCCAGCTTATTCAACACCTCATCGATATTTTGGGCCTTGTCCACGGTGACAGTCAGCGATTTCCATCGCGGCTCTGCGATGTCCAGGACAATGTGGTGTTCCAGATTCAACATGCACATCAGCATCCGCTGGCGGAGATTGCCAAATCGCTTGGTTGACTTGAGACCCGAGCCCTCGGAGGGAGTTTGCCACATGAGTGTCAGGCTGCGCCTCACATAGTGCAGAAAGAGCAGGACTCGCTGCAGGATCTGCAATTGCTCCAGGAGCTGCGGGTAGAGTACAAAGCTCAGTGGCCACTTGGCTTCGTAGCGAAGGGCCAACGATTCGTAGCCGTAGAGATTCAGGACTTCCGGTGGTTCCTCCGCCTCACTGGAGCTTTCCTGACTTTCTGCCTCTGATCTTTCGGGCTTGTGCCGCCTGGCCAACTGAGTGGCCACATCGCAGTCCTTGAGTTGGCAGCGCAGCATGTCCTTGAAGAGGTCACTGGACTTCTGAAGGGTCTCCGTCAGCAGGGTCTGCAGCTTTTCGGGAATCAACCTGTCCACATTGCACTGCAAATGCTCCTGACACTTGTCTAGTAGAGTCTCCGCGAATCCCTCCTCTTGCAGCAGGAAATAGGATCGAAGATTGCCAATGTGTAGGGATAGGTTGTGATCTTTAGATAAAACACTTAGCAGCTTCCTGGCCGGCAGATCGTAGCTATCCTTGATGATCTCCTCATGCGCCGTTTCGCCAGGATTATAGGCGAGTGGCTGCTGAAGCAACTTCATGGTGACATTGCACTGGCGCAGGATATTCAGGTACTTCCCCGCCAGAAACACTTCGTCCGCCTGGGAAAGTAGAAAGGCGGGCAGACGATCCGGCAGAAGGCGGTACCGCTGCGCCCAGTAGGCGTGGCAGCATTTCTCCGGCGAAAGCAAGGTACTACTCATCGCATTCGAACGTTCCGTGTCCTCGACAAAGAACTCGTGTTGCGTATCGTATAGAACACCTTTCTGCATCCACAGCTGAACGATCTTCATGTAGACACGCGTTACAGAGGACACAATTTTGGTGATCCTTTCCTTCATTTCCGGTTCCGTGGCCTTCTGATCCCGGTGAAACTGATCCAATAATGTTAGCAACTGGGCGCTGGTCAATTTACTCCGCGAACTGCAGGCCATGCTGGAGAAGACCTTCAAAATGGACAGCCAGGGACGCACCTGTCGCACCAGTTCCTTGAGATTCAGCTTCTTCTCCTGCAAATCGGTCTCCAACTTTGACTGCAGATCGTAGTACTCCTGCATTTGGTCACCGAAGGCGGTGACCAAGGCCAAGCGGGTTCTTCCGCAACTCGGCGACATGTTGGTCTGCTCTATGAAGCTCTGCACACTTATATAGTAACCGACCAGGGGCAAAACGTCATTGGCCAAGGCCCTAAAGGCCCCATTGAAGACCTCATCCAAACGGAAGCGAACCCTTGATATATCCACTGAATTCATCTCGGAAATCTGATCGATCTGTATATCGGGCTTGACATGCGAGGAAGGAACCCCCGAAAAAGCATAGATTAGATCCCTCATGAGCAGCTGTTCCTGATGCTGCAGCGGCATCTTGGCCAGATCCTCATTGGGAAGATAGTAACCTCCGACGCTTTCAAAGATCCATGACTCCTGCTGCGGCAAGGCATTCACCGAACTTGAGCTGTTTCCACTTCCAGAAGGCCGGTTCAGAGAATCGCCGCGATCGTGAATTTTCCTCATCTGGCGGTCCAACTCATCTCTGCTCAGGTGAAAGCGAACCGTGTCTGCAAAATCATTATCCAAATCTCCCGGATCCATTGTGTGGTGCGAATAGGAAAATATATAAAGAACAGAGCTCGAAATTTAAAGCTCAAAGGTCTCTAGGTGTTGTAAACAACAGTGAATGTCAACTGAATGAGATTTTTTCCAAAGGTATCCGTTTGAAATATTTTTAATTTTTTTGTTGATGTTGAAAAAAAATTTTAGTTTTACATAAGCAAGATTATTTCTCTATCCTAGAAGCTAAGAATTCCGAACAATTTTTTCTAATTGTTATAGAAATAGTTCGTGATGGTGTGTACCTCATTCCTGCAGGTTCCAATTTCCAGCTATGTTAATTAATTAAGTTTAATTCCAGCAAGCCGTGTCAGGCTGTTTGTTTCACCGATATCAAGCTGAATGAGCATCGAAATTCATAATGTAAAATCCCCCATAGCCAATCGTACCCAGCGGCGATATCTTTGGTACCGCTTCCTCCGAGGCATAGGTTTATTTTTAAGCCATACTTCGAAGATCGGACGCCCAGCTGTCTATCAAAGAGAGCAGGAGAATCAACTGACGAACGTGCTGAGAATTTTCCATCAATTTCTCCGCGATGGGAACTCCGAACTTTCTATATGCCCGTACTCAAAATTTAAACACACAATGAAAAAAGTTTTGTTGGTTTATTGATCTATTCTTCTAAAATATCAAATGTAGAAGAGTGTATAAACTAATAAAAACTATAAAAAAGTTAGTTTTTTATAATAGTTACTGGCTTTAATTTCTATTTAATTTTGTTTGATCTTATTATATTATTAAGAATGAAACAATTTTTCCTCTGCATTTGAGATACTCGAAAATATCGCACATGCAAGGAGATAACCATGAGAACACTTTATTTATGGGCTTTTGTCGCGTGAGTGCCACTTGTCGTGTTGTTGTTGCTACTGTTGCAGCTTGTAACTTGTTGTAATCGCTGTTGTATTTGTTGTCTTTGCCCCCTTTTTTGTTGCCTGGGCTCGTTTTCTCGTTGTTCTCATTCTAAACAATGCAAATGCAGCGTCAGCAGCTCTGCCAACAACATTAGCATAAATAAATAAATAACCGTTCTGGCAACGAGCGAGTAAATAACAAAGTAACAACGCGAGCAGCAACATTAATCTACGGTCCAAAAGCTTTCCGATGGACGTTCCCTGTTCCATGGGCTTTTGCCTTCCTCGCATTTTATAGCAGACACCCAAAACACTTGTTTGCCTTCGTCGCCTAGCGGCACTTGCACTTCGACGAGGTTCGGTGCAAGGGAATTGCCTAGAAACGCCCACACACGAACTGGCCAGGTACAGTGGTACCAGGATTTGGTAAAAATGTGATATTCCAAATTATTGAAATTTAATGCAAGTATTTTTGAAACTTCCAAACATATTTAGTCCACTCTACTGAAAAGCTCCTCCATACTTTTTATATGTTTTGATTGTTGTGTCCTGTGCTTTTTAAAAGTTTTGCCTAACAAAATACATATTTCAAATATTTTGTTTTCTCCACTTGATAACTAGATACTTTTATAAAAACAAATGAACTTATATTCCATACATCTAAAAAGAAACGAATTAATTGTAAAGGTGAAATAAGTTTCATGGAGCAAAAAGCTACAAAAAAACCTACAAATTAGGACTCAAAAAAATTTTTTTTTTAATTTTTATTATTAAGTTTTTTGAACTAATATTATAAATAAAACAACTGGTGTCTTTAAACCTACTTTAAGTGGAATTAAAATAGTTTAAGTTGGTTGGCTATCTTGGCTATCGAATTTTCTTCACTTTCCCACCTGCTTTCCACCCACTGTGCCTAGGCCGTGCATTACAACAGCAACACCTTCGCCTTCACCGTAAAATCGGCTTCCCCTGCGTGTTCACATGTCGCGCGACTCTTGATTTTGCAGCCGCTTCTGTCGGCAATCAAATTGAGTGCAAAGCTCGGTTAAAAGCCAAGTATTCGGACAGCCGGAGAGGTGTGATGTGGTGTGGTGACGGGTGTGATACGAATGCAAAAACGGTTTCGATTTTTTTTCAATTTTTTCCGCCTTCTGTTTTTGTCTCGTTTCGCTGGGGCCCTAACTTATTGCATTATTTATGTGCGAGTAGTACGGTTTTCTGGGTTTCTCAGTAAGCCACACGCACACGGGCCGAACCAGAAAATTGTATAAACAAAACGTGAAAAGCCGCAGAAAAAAAGAAGAAACAAAAGTGAGTATCACCGGTGACAATCGCAAGTGCAGGGCTCTCTCCGTCTCATGTCTCAAGTCTCCGACGGGTCTCTCTCTCCTGCTCACACTCACTCACTATTTCGCCCAGGCCGAGAAACAAGCTCGGCGGCATTCTCAGTCAAACAACAAACGCAACTGAAGTAACAACGAGTCCGTACCGCGTACCGCCCCCGAAACAAAAGTGAAATTCTATAAGATCCCGGGTCTTTGGCCAAACCACCCAGGAATATCGCCGCGATAAGCTGGAAATCAAACAAATTCAACGAAAACTCACCCCGAAAGTTATGGTATTTGATTCCGCGGAAGGTCGGATCGAGTGCAGTGCTTAATGTTCCAGCTGCGGAGAGAGGTCAGCGAGAGGTTCGGAGTCTGGGTGCAGCGCCTCCTCGTCATCGTCCTGCACCTTTGGCACCGCTCCAGCATGTCCTTCGTTCGCGGCCGCCAGGAGGCGTTCAAGTGGATTAAACGCCGACTGGCCAGGAGACGAAGTCACGTGAGTGCACTGAAAGAAATTGGGAGGAAATAGACATACCCCATAATTAAGGCTTTTCAAAAAACATAGAATCTACCTTTTAATCTAATGTTTTTCTACCTCAATTTTAAATGCTGACAAATTGTTTGGGCTTTAAAAATGAGATCACTGGTGAATAAATACTGCAAATTGTCACCTAACTGAGATCAGTGAAGTCAATGTGGAAATGAGAAAAATTTAGGGTATTTGCAAAAGTTCGAATTATTTAACTAAAATGCCACATTTCATTATATAACAGAATCAATTTTGTAAATGTTTTTTTTCGAATATGAGTCTGTTTATATTATTTTCCATTTTAAACATTTGCAAACAGCTGTTTTTAAGTTCCAGATAATTTAATGGTTTTGGCTGATTTTACTGTAAGCTCAATGAATTTATGTTTGGGCTTTAAAGTAAAAAGCAACTAAAACTCTGCAATAATATTAAGTAAATAAAATATTAATAATAAATCATATAGGAATACCTTTAATCTACAAACAAAAAATATGAAGTCATTAATATTAATGGCAAATAGTTACTTTAATGGCATTCCAGCTTTTTTCCATTACTTTAATGTTTAGCACTTTTTTAGAGTCAATAAAGTCAGTATTCTATAACTCTGTTGTATAGTAGAAATACAAAAAAATAAAATTTGTTATATGTAAAGTCTGACAGTGAGTTAGTTCAATTAGGGTAATATTTTTCGCCTGAGCAGCTCATCCTGCATTAGATCCCAAGTGGGTCATCACAACCCTTAGATTTTAGCTGGAATTCAATTAAAAGTTATTCTGCTCGGCTGCAAATTCAATTAAATACAATCATTTCGGGCTTTCGGTGCAATTTTTAGCTAATTCTGGTTTTCCTGTGAATCGGGGCACAGCCGGCTGATGAAGAAGGGTTAGAAAAGTTTCGTTTCGCACTCGCGTGACTCGCTATAATTTCTCCATCAGCGCTCGTAGTTTGGAGTGGTCGGGGGCCAAGGTGCCCACTGTCTGAGGCTTTGTTCCGTTTCCGCTTTCTGCCGGTTTCGCCGGGTGGGTGTGTCCATCGACCTGCCGGAGACATAGGCTTGGTTCTATGAATATACATGCACTCTTCATCCCCTGGCATCCAAAACTACCCAGGACCCCAACTATACTCCACCCTGGCGAACGGCAAACGGCAAACGGCAAACAGTTGGCGTTGAGCGATTATGGCTGTCAGCCTGAAAGGCACTTCCAGCCTGTTATCAATTCAAACAAACGCCAAAATGCCACAAATGTGAAAACTAACCGACCGACGAGGAGACGTTAAGAGGCCCCCAAATTGTGCAAATCAAATTGAATGCCGTTTTATGAAAGTTGACTTTGCCGCTGATTTTTGGCAATTATTCGTAGTTGGCATTTGTGCGATTTCGAAATATTTGAGTTTATAACAATGCGGATCCCAAACAGAGCACGTAGGGGGCTTAAGTTGAACGCCCCTGGCATTTTAAAAAGTTTTCTAATATCTGGGGAGCAACTGATATGAGCCAATAGACTGCAAAATGGGTGATTTATTTGTATAGCATTGGGCGGGGAAACTGATTTTATAAAATTAATGGTTTAACTGATAAAGCTTCTATTACAAAGATATTTTCCAAAGAGTTAGATCGCATGTATGAAGTTAATTCTAATTATATCAGATATTAAATGAATATGATTATCTTAAATTAGCAAACTATTTGCAAAGGGCATATGAAGTCATGAAACCTGTATCAAATCACGAACTAGTGACTCACAATTAATTGATTTTAATTGACTGCGGAAATATTGATACTCTTACTCACAACCCAATTCGCGATGAAACTCTATTCTAATGCTCGTTCGCATTACAAGTGAAAATATGGCAGACCCACCGAGAAGAGCACTTATACTTATATTTATGGCCCTCCGCTCGGCCCATAAATATATTGTTTATCCCGCCGGCAAATGTTTATTCTCACCACTCGAAGTTTCAGCGACTGCCCAGATTTTTAGGAAACTGAAGCGGAGTAAACACTCATCGCGTGTTCCGATTAACGAAATCGCAAGGGGATCTCGAACCCTGGAACCAAAGGAACCCCAGCTCGTTAGTATTGCCCGCTTGTATTTTGTATTTTCAGCAAAACCTGCGTCTGGGATCGTAAACAAATGGCTGTCAAAAGGCATGAGCTAAATACCGACAAAGTAGCAAACAAAATATAAATGGACAGCCCCTATTTTGTGTATGAGAACTTGCCAAGTTCAAGGCAGGAGTTGAAGATGTCTATATGACGCTTTGTATTCACAATTATGGCAGAGGGATGGGCCCAAAACGAGGGCGGGGGCTATACAGCTTTAGAGCGGGGCAAACAATAACATTGTGCATAAAACAGACCTCAGTCCCAAGCTTGAAATACTGACTAAATGGAAGTGAACGATACCGTTTGGTTTGGCAATACCAACAATGAGATACTCTATTTTACTGACGAACTAGATATCTTATATCTTACATTATTACAATAAAATTATTAAGAATTGAGAAATTTTAAAAATTTGAATAATAAGATATTTTTCAATTAATTGAAATGTAATAAAATGTTCTAATGTGGTATAAAAAAATATATATTTATTTAAAGCATATTCCAACTCGTTTTTCCAGACTTTTTTAATAGGACATTGTTCTCCCGACTGTCTTGGATTTCTTATAATTTTTTGGCTGTCCAAAAATTTAAACAATAAAATGGTTCTTAAAAATATATGTAAATATATGCAACCCCCTGATTGTATTCTAATGCAACTGGTGACCAAGCGGCTGTCAAAGCTGAGATATCCTTGGCTGCAACACTATAAATCACCGATAATTGTGGGTGTGTTGTGTTTATTGTTGCTGCTGCCATTGATGTTCCGCGAGCGTTTTTCTGCCGGCCATTCAATCAGGCGGTTGAGTCAGCTGAGCTGGGCTCGAAGGCGAAAAGCCCAGGCAAAATTCAAATAGGCGTTCGCACGCATGGAAAATCATTGAAGCCTGCAGTGGAAAATGGGCGAGTATCTGTGAGTTACACCCTCGACTCGCCGGGGCTTTTCCATTTCGCGCTCCGCTCATTTCAATTTAGTTGGTGCAAAGCGGTCGCCGCAAACGCTTTGAACTCGTTTCCCGGACAGACGGACTACCTCTTGACGTTTTTCCTATATTGATCTCTTCGCCCGATTCGGAAAAAAAGAAGGAAAAATAATACCGCCCAGTAAAACAAAAATTGTGCGCGTTTTGATTTTTTGGCGCGTTTTTCATTTGTTTTGATTTCGCGTCTCTGAACCTTTCTGGCTTTCTGTCTTTTCCCTGGCTTTAACTTCGGCTCCTTCCTTTAGGCCACACAACTACGTATTGATAAATTGCCAGCCGACGATTTCCGTCGTGACCCGCGCGTTATGCAAAATGCTCAAAATGTAAATAAATATTAAAATAATACACAAGATCACGAGAAGGGGGAGCCCAAAGTCTGCCACACTGCCTTCCTTTTGTATGCGCCCAGCCTTTTGCCTTTGTTGGTTTAAGCCGTTCGGTTCGGTTTTTTTGCGGTTGTGCTGTGAAAAATGAAGTGAATCTGTCTGCCGGTCCACCGCCGATCGCCAAGTGAATCGCCATTGCAACAATAATAATAAGGAATAATAATAATAATGCAAGCCGACAAATTTCGGTTTCGGAGTGCCTTTTCTTTATTTATGAAAACAATAAACGCAACACAACAAACTACGCATTAAGCCCGGGCCCCCTGGAAAAAATCCCGGTCCCAGTCCCGAATCTGGATTGGATTGGCTGGGATTGGTTGGGATTGGAGGTGCCGGCGGTTTCCTGGCACGCATATAATTTGCATGTGGATATCGATCTTTATGACCGGAGACGCTTCGACCATGGCTTATGTAATCTGGAAAATATTCATGAAGCAATATGCCCGCCTGCGCTACGATCCGCAGCCCCTCGGTCCTAAGTTGATCTGGCACTCGTACGCGGCCATTCAGACGGTGGGTCACCCTCTACCCCTCAATCTCCTGCATTCGGGGTCACCACGTACTTTACTCTGGCTCTTTGGCCCGTTTCCCTGCCCTTTATTGATTTAAATTGAGTCATTTTTCTCGGTTTTGGCCATCGGCCATCGGGGCATACAAAGTAATTGTAGATTAATGTGGCTAGCTTTAAGTGAGCGCTCAAGACGCGAGCTCATATTTATTCGCGCGATTCACATTTTCGAGTGTTTTGAGTTTTTGGGGGCGTGAAAGTTGATTTGTGATTAAACGGCGGCCAGTTCGTTAAGGGAAGTTGGGGAAAGTTTAGGCATTACATGGAGTTTGGGAACTTTTTTTCGAGCAACAGGTTTGTTTCTTGGGATCCGCAAGACGGTGGTTAGTTACAATTTTAAACACCTTTTAAATTCTCTTTTACTGGAATTCCTTTCTGTTTTAAATGGCATTTCCCCAAGCCACTGATCTACTTAAAGACATTTTTTGGAATCACCCACCTAGTCTATTTACTGCTACATAAATCCTTCTCCTAACACCTAATCAACTGTACTTCTTGACCAGCTGGAGATACAGCTTTACGGCTTTTTCCTAGGCTTAAGATTGGCAATTTCCGACACTAAACTAGTTAGATCACACCTCGATTGGCGTTATTCAATCAGCGACCAGGGAACTCTACTTATGCCGATGCTTTCCTTGACACTCGAGTGCGGCGACAGTTGCATTTCCCGCCCATTAACGAAATACGATAGTGAAAATGCAAAGGAAATAGCCGAGATTTGGCGGCTCTGAGGAGCAGGAGCCAAAATAAACTAGACAAAGTAAAAAGTTGTTGGGGCGGCACTGATGGGTTTCAAAGCCACCGCTCCCTGGGACCAAAGACCAAAGACGAAGACCACCAAACTAGCTAAACGGACTGTCTGCCCCCATTGATAATAACAATCGGGAAAAGTAAGAGATGCAATAATTCAACGTAAAGTGTTAAAA